TTGGCGAAAAACTTGCGGGCTCCTGACTTTTTGTAGTGGTGGTGGGAGGAGGGAGAGAGAGGCACTGATCCACACAACGGGTGGTTGGTGGGCGTGGGAGGAGAGTCAGGGATTGCCCGCGGGGACGACGAGGCGCGGACTGCCGCAGGGGAAGTAACTCCATTGCCCCCATTAACCACGGCAGCCACTGGCTCTGTGGTGTCCACGGGTCTGGCGAAAGCACCGACCTCCAACGCCACGATGGAAGCGTGGTCCAACTTCCCCGCAGCTTTCGACATTTTCTCCACAATCTCCGAGTCTCTCGCCTGCCGGTCTTTCTTGGTCATCTTGCGGCGGGCGTACAGGGCAGGGTTCTCGATGATCTTGCGCTTCTCGTTGGTGAGACTGAGCACGTGTTGCAACACGGCCCCGCAGAACGACTGGGCCGAGCACGCCTCCTCCGTGACCAGCTCATGCTCGTGCACGACGCGCTCCATCTCCTTGAGGGAGTACACGTGTCGCTCCTTGGGGCTCAGCTCCGGCTTGATCACCAGACAGCCGTTGGAGTTGTACTTCTCCCGCGTGTTGAAGTTGGAGTCGTTGGCCCGCTGGGGAAGCGCTATTTTCGTCACCACTGGATCAAAGTTATCGGAAATGCCGTCGGTGGTGAGGAAGACGATGTCGCCGTGGTGACAAAAGGTCACGGAGCAGGTCAAGTTGTGCAGTTCAGGGTTCTGTCCGTCCACCGGCCCGATGGCCCCGCCCGCGTCGCGGATGTCGCGCTCACTGCCCACGTCGTGTGACCCCACGGTGACCTCGCGGATGCCCTGGTTGTGGGAGTAGATGAAGGCGAAGCTGTCGCCCAGGTTCACGCAGCAGACGGCGTGCTGGTCCGAGTTGTCCACGGGACACACCATGCACACACAGAGCGTGGTCAGTCCGCCCTCCTTGGCCATGATGACTCGGTGAGCCTCGTCCAGAGACTTGCGCAGAAGTCTCACCACATCCTGTATCACGGACAGACAGACGGGACAACAGTCTTAGTTAAAAGTAAGTCTCACCACATCTTGTTAGCACAGACAGACAGACAGACAGACAGACAGACAGACAGTCACAGACAACACAGTCTTAATTTTGTGGTAGTTAGCAGAAAGTTTTGGAAAAAGTATTCCTAAGAGTGTAAAAGTTCTCAAAGTAAGTTATTCTTGCTCCAATGTTGTCTTTTTTGCAGATAAATCCCCCCCCTCCCCTCCCCTCCCCTTCCCCAAAACAAAAACAAAAAACAAAAGGGACCTCCGAGATTTTTCGCCCTTGTCCGAGAAGGCTAGGTGTAGATCTTTCCTACCAGAAGATCAGGGGTGTGGCAGAAAGACAGCAGTTAGGAGGAGCCAAGGAGTAGCAGTAGAAAGGCTGCAGAAAGAGTCAGGAGCCCGGAGGAGGGGGCAAAGGAGGTGAGGGGGTGAGGGGCTGGGGGCAGAAAGTGGAAATGAAAGCAGACAACAGAACATTGTTAGAGATCAGGATAGGATGTGAAAGGAGACAATTTTAGAGAAGAACATTTTTTTGGTCGCTACCCGGAATCGAACCCGGGACCTTTGAATGAGAGGCCAACACCTTAACCTCTAGGCCACGAGAGCCCCATATAATATATATAAACACGTTTTTGTCATTTGAAGGAGAGAGAACATGCTTTCTTGTCAAGTACTTAGCCCGTGAAGATGTGGAGTAGGCCTACAGTCGAGTGGGGTAAGATGCTGATTAGTCATATTTCAGCAGTGAGCAACACTTGGACAATACATGACAGGATTGAAGATACATACATGACTGAAGATACATACATGACTGAAGATACATACATGACTGAAGATACGTACATGACTGAAGATACATACATGACTGAAGATACATACATGACTGAAGATACGTACATGACTGAAGATACGTACATGACTGAAGATACGTACATGACTGAAGATACGTACATGACTGAAGACACATACATGAAAGTAGAAGTGACAGGCCATGTTAGAGCACGTATCAACCCCTCAACAAGACAAAAAAAGGGGGGTGGGGGGTGTTTAAGTTTCGTAAGAGTTTTACGGCACTTGGAACACAATTAGGTCATATAATTGCTGAAGGTTAGACATGCTCATAGAGAGTATAGTTTAGTCTTTATTAGAGGTTTTACGGCGCTCGCCACTGAATAAGGTCATATGAGCGCCAGAAGACTCACAAAAGAAATACAGTGGAGTCTGTTTAAACTAGGCAGTTATTAATCAGAAAACAAAGACAGAGGCAAAAGTGTCGCATGAGGCTAAATAAGACGAGTTGAATGTACACAGCTGTACAGAACACTCACTATTGCTTAAAACACCCCTTCCACACCCACCAAAAAAATCTTGAAAGTTCTTTCTCTTCACTGAAGTACAATTCTTGAAGATACAACTCAAAACCAATTTGATTGGCCAGTTTTGTTTTGTCTCAGGAAAAAAGAGAAGAATAGCAGTATGGCAACAGGAGTGTTTTAGTGAGAGGGACACAGCACGTCACACGAGGGACACGACACACGAGGGACACGACACACGAGGGACACGACACACGAGGGACACGACACATGTGTAGTGTTTTAGTGAGAGGGAGACAGCACGTCACACGAGCACGTCACACGAGTACGTCACACGAGGGACACGACACACGAGGGACACGACACATGTGTAGTGTTTTAGTGAGAGGGAGACAGCACGTCACACGAGTACGTCACACGAGGGACACGACACATGTGTAGTACTTTAGTGAGAGGGAGACAGCACGTCACACGAGCACGTCACACGAGGGACACGACACATGTGTAGTGTTTTAGTGAGAGGGAGACAGCACGTCACACGAGCACGTCACACGAGGGACACGACACATGTGTAGTACTTTAGTGAGAGGGAGACAGCACGTCACACGAGTGACACGACACATGTGTAGTACTTTAGTGAGAGGGAGACAGCAGGTACACCAGCACGTCACACGAGTGACACGACACATGTGTAGTACTTTAGTGAGAGGGAGACAGCAGGTCACACGAGTGACACGACACATGTGTAGTACTTTAGTGAGAGGGAGACAGCAGGTATACCAGCACGTCACACGAGTGACACGACACATGTGTAGTACACAGCTATACACAACACAGCAAAACACAACAACACAGAACACAACAAAATGCAACACAACAGAACAGAACAAAACAGAACAAAACAAAACACAGCTATACAGAACACACAACAGAACACAGCTAAGATGTATGTATAAAAAAAGAAAGGAGAATGGAATAGAAACTACAAGAGTTGAGACAGCGAAAACATGACAGGATTCTCATGAAGTAAGCTGTGGCCTTACCCCAATCCCTCATTGACAACAAACTGAGCCACATTCCTAAACAAACCAGAATGGGTTTCTGGAATTCATACACACATGAAAAAGACAATCTTCCACCAAACTATGAGAAGAAGTATACACTGATCAATGCTACAAGTCAAGTGCCTTAGAGAGTCCTTTCCCCCCTCACCTCCACGCTCCCTTCAATATCAGATGTGAGTCCAACAACGTCTCAACTTGTGCTAAAGCACTTACACTTACGTTAGAAAGACACAGTTCTGTAAAATAAGAGGCTGAACCATTAAGTTACTTACACTTTCTCCTCCCCGTGGTTCTCCATGGCGCGATGGTACAATCAGGCGACCGTGCTCTGTTCCCGCTGTACACAGTATCCTGGCTCTCCTATCTCAGTCGCGCAGCCATCCTCCGTGTAGCCGTAGACGCCCACGACTTTGTCACCACATGCTTCGACACGGCCACACCACAGCCTTCGAATTTGCTGAAATGTTCATTTATAAAGAAATATCTTAAAAAACAGTTCCGTGGAAATATTTAATGTAGCCCTGTCTGAAAACTTTAAATAAAATCAAAGCAAGATTAAGCATAAATGTATTTGCTCTACTGAAAGAAAATTATTTGAATTCATTATTTAAAGACTACAACCCCTCCCCCCCTCCCCGTAATAATTCAATTACAGAAGAAAATGTTATGACCATTCATGCAACTCACAAGTCGGTTCTGTCACTGTCAGACAAAGAAATCTAAAAATGTCCTATATTTCTATTAAGAGAAGAACGTGAGAGATGGAACAAGATGGAGGCACGAAAGTAAAATAAGACAATAAAAGCTTGCCATTTTTGGAGACATGGCCAGATATCCAATTACCAATCTTACAGTAGTAACCCATCAGAGACTGTCATGCTTGAATCGGACTTGTGAGCCACTCCAGACGATGTTCTCGACAGGAGTGACATACAGGAGCAGCCATTGTTCATTGTCTCCTGAGAGAGAAGGAGCCGACCAGTAACCCATCCCTCCTTTACTCATTAAACCCCAGCAGTCACTCCCAGCAGCCGAAGCTTTTCCTCCCAAAATGCAGAGCGACCGCTCCCACTGGCAGGAGCAATACACAGAGCTATAATATTCACATTATAAAGTTTCTCATCTAAACAGTTATGAAGGTAATAACACTAAATACGAAACTTCTCTAGGGAAAGCTACACTCATTCGTTCTTTGTCTTGAGTTGAGGCACCTATATATATATGTCTTGAAAGTAGTTGGACCGAGTTAGTACAAATAAATTCTGTCAAACTGTGGAAATCAGTTTTGGGGTCAATGAGTTAAATTCAGCCTCTACTTTGGCCATCACAGATAACTACCACACACAAAAAAGATTGCAACATCACTGGCTCATTAACTGTATACTGTAAGGCCTACGGTTGTAATCCCCCCCCCACCCCAATTATTTATAAGGCCCTAGTTTTGAGGGATGACATTTTCTATACACACAAGACGGAGCAAAACACAACCAGAGCACCCTCCAACTGCACCAACAGCGTGTCTTCAAACGACCAAAATGCGAGTCCTCAATGACTTCAGCTACACGTCCATGAAACAAGTATCACAAATATATACTTTCATATATATATATATGCATTTGGTATATTTTATACCATTTTAATATTTTTATTAAAGGTAAGAAAATGTAGAATACATGTAAACGGTGTTCTTTCATGCATTTTGATTCACTAGCTCTGTGGTTTATCGTAACGCCACAGGGATGAGGTACGGCAAACAACGCTCCCATTTTTACTCTTTGACCGTGAAAACTTGAAAGCAATCTTGCTACGTAAAAATCTGTCTCTCAGTTCTGAGCCGGGGGAAATACATAATTGTAATCAGCTTGCAGAGAAAGTTATTTTGTACGAGATAAAAAAATAGTTTACAAAAAAAGGTCGAACAGATCTGTAAGAAAAACTGCAATTACTCTACAGTGGAGGCAGCTGCCTCAGCCACCGAGGTATAGGTTTATGATTATGGTATAGATATTGTCACAAATTGAGAGCAGTCATTAAAATAATTGTGTAATTTTATCAGACTATTTTTCTGGAGAAATTCTATAACATGTGACGGCTATGAAACCTAGACTCATGTTCAATTCATTGGCACAAAATGAGAATGTTGGTCAACTGATTTTATTTGAAAAAATAGCGGAGACTTTTAGTTTGAAAGATGTGGACTTCGGAAAAAACACTCGTTGAACATACACAGTCAACATTGTCTTTCACAGAAGACACTTCACCTATTGTTGAGGAGAAACGTGGCATTCTTGGACTAGTGACTCTTAAAAAACAGTTCCGTGGAAATATTTAATGTAGCCCTGTCTGAGAACTTTAAATAAAATCAAAGCAAGATTAAGCATAAATGTATTTGTTCTACTGAAAGAAAATTATTCGAATTCATTATTTAGAGACAACACCCCCCTCTCCGTAATAATTCAATTACAGGAGAAAAAGTTATGACCATTCATGCAACTCACAAGTCGGTTCTATCAGACAACTTTAAAAATTAATTATTAAGGGGAGACGTACACTCCAGGAAAATATTTCCAAACGAATGACTTTTATTCACTTTCACATGTAACAGTGCAAGAAGTTGATAGGTAGGTAAGTAGGATGCATTAAGGGTGAATTCCTTGATTTTTCCTTTAAAAAATGATTTTCACACCAGTTTCTTAGTGCAGAAAAATTTCATAGTAAATTTCGCACACAAGAACAAACCTATAAGAATGTGGATCTATGTGAGGATTTTGACCTATCTTTAAAACTAAAAAAGTGAGCCCACCGTCAATGGACCCCCGAGAGCCAGTGAACAAATTTTGGGACACATTAAAATTACAAAAAACGTAAAAATATTTCCACAAGTTACCAATATTTCCCAATTCCCTCACATAGATCCCCAGAATAAATCTTAAAGCACTTGTATGCCGTGCCAAATTTGAAGCTTCTAGCTACTGTACTTTTGGAAAACTCCTTGCACCAAGGTCACTTATAATGTCAAAAAGTAGATCTTGAGAAAAGCAGAAAAAAACCAGGGGTTTTTCAAAAGGATTTTTTAGTGCAATTTGCTCTTTTCAAACGCCCTTTTAGCTCATTTAGGGTGTTTTTTTTCAACAGTTTCGTCATTGCGACCCGATAGAACAGATGTCAAAGGATGTTTTTGTGCAAAAAACAAAAGTTGGATAGTTGGAAAAATGTCTCTCTCTCTCTCTCTCTATATATATATATAATGAATTATCTAGATTCCCCGACCATGGTCTTCCCTAAGAAGAACCTGAGAGATGGAACAGGATGGAGGCACGAAAGTAAAATATAAGACAATAAAAGCTTGCCATTTTTGGAGACATGGCCAGACATCCAATTAATATACACAGAGTCTAGAACCAATCAGAGATTGTCATGCTCGTATCGGACTTTCTAGCCACTCCAAAAGATATTCTCGACAGGAGTGACATACAGACGCAGCCATTGTCTCCCGAGATTGAATGAGCCGACCAGTAACCCATCCTTCCTTCACTCATTAAACCCCAGCAGCCACTCCCAGCAGCCGAAGCTTTTCCTCCCAAAATGCAGAGCGACTGCTCCCACTGGCAGGAGCAATACACAGAGCTATAATATTCACAATCACATTATAAAGTTTCTCATCTATAACACGAAATATGAAACTTCTCTAGGGGAAGCTACACTCATTTGTTCTTTGTCTTGAGTTGAGGCACCTATATATATGTCTTGAAAGTAGTTGGACCGAGTTACAAAATAATAAATTCCGTCAAACTGTGGAAATCAGTTTCAGGGTCAGTGATTTAAGTTCAGCCCCTACTTTGGCCATCACACACAAAAAAGGGATACTTGCAACATCACTGGCTCATTAACTGTATACTGTAAGGCCTATGGTTGTAATTCCCCCCCCCCCCCCAATTATTTATAAGGGTCCAAGTTTTCAGGGATGACATTTTCTATACACACAAGACGGAGCAAAACACACAACCAGAGCACCCTCTAACTGCACCAACAGCGTGACAGCGTGACAGCGTGACAGCGTGTCTTCAAACGACCAAATGCGAGTCCTCAATGACTTTAAAAAAAGCTACACGCCCATGAAACAAGTATCACAAATATATATATATATATATATATATATATATATATATATATATATATATATATATATATATATATATATGCATTTAGTATATTTTATATCATTTTAATCTTTTTATTAAGGTAAGAAAATGTAGAATGCATGCACATGGTGTTCTTTCATGCATTTTGATTCACTAGCTCTGTGGTTTATCGTAACTCCAAAGGGATGAGGTATCAATGCGCCCATTTTTACTCTCTCAGAACGTGAGAACTTGAAAGCAATCTTGCTACAAATCTGTCTCTCAGTTCTGAGCCAGAGGAAATACATATTTTGTAATCAGCTTGCAGAGAAAGCTATTTTGTACGAGATAAAAAAATAGTTTGCAAAAAAAAAAAAAGGACAAAAATATATAAATCTAGATCTGAAAGAAAAACTGCAATTACTCTACAGTGGAGGCAGCTGCCTCAGCCACCGAGGTATCGGTTCATATAATATATATGATGAAAGATATTGTCATAAATTGAGAGCAGTCATTAAAATAATTGTGTAATTTTATTAGACTATTTTTCCGGAGAAATTCTATAACATGTGACGGCTATGAAACCTAGACTCATGTTCAATTCATCGATACAAAATGAGAACGTCGGTCAACTGTTTTTATTTGAAAAAATAGCGGAGACCTTTAGTTTGAAAGATGTGGACTTCGGAAAAAACACTCATATTGAACATACACAGTCAACATTGTCTTTCACAGAAGACACTTCACCTATTGTTGAGGAGAAACGTGGCATTCTTGGACTAGTGACTAGGGACGGCTCACAGGGTCGCACAGAAAAAAAAGGCGTGGGGGGGGGGGATCAGAAGCAGTGTGTCTATTTGAAGGCTTACAGCTGATTGTTTCAGGTGGCCATTTATTAAAATTAGAGCAGTCTAGATGTTAAAACAGACAGCAGCACAAAAATGAAGAAGCACTAGATCTAGATCTAGATCTAGATCTAGATCTAGATCTAGAAGAAGAGTAAGATTGTTATTTTTTAAAAAGCAAGGGTTTTTTTTCTACTTTTAGGAATCTAGGTTTGTCAACCTGGGCCTGGGGGAAGGGCCTGGGGGAAGGAGCTTGAGATCACTGCTCGTGAGAGACGAGACTCATGTAACAGTAGCCTATCATTAGCAACATGAGCAGGCTTCTTTTTTCAAAGTTGACAAAGTGTAGGCTTGCACAGAGTCTGTTCAGACACGGACTTTGTCAGGCCATACACTGGGCTGTAGGCCTATGATTAAAATCTTTTAAAGTAAGTTAAGGAAGAAGTAGAATCCAGGAGTAGCTTGGTAGTGGTAGCCTCTTGCTTGAGGCCAAGGGGCAAGGCTAGGCCTAGCAGTAGGATCCAAGAAAAGAAGACGTAGACAGTAGAAAACTTCTTAGAATCTTACGGCACGGCAGGGTAAAATTTACACACCTAATAATACAACTAATGTTCTAGTCTATGCGGGTTTCATTAAAGAAGCATGTGGGAACAGAAGTCTCAGAGTTCTAAATACATGCGCGGTAGTCCTCGACGGAGTACTGAGTGCAATGCAAAGACGAGTTCTTTACATCGAAATCCCCCCTACTCCTACCTCACCTGCGAGTCCTGGCCTGAAGCCTGAAGTTGTGTGTTGTGTAGAAAAGAATACTTCCTTCTCCGATTTTGCTACAAGTAAGCCCTGTAAAGCATTAACACAAACACAGCTGGACACTATGCAACGCACTGGACTTTCCACAACCTAACACATTTTTTCGAAGTGAGTGAACAATGCACATGACTCACTCTTGAGAAAGAGAAGGCATTATGCTAATAATAAACACACGCACATAACATCCTCTGCTAGGCTATCATCAACACTGCTGCTTCCGCAAATTAATTTCTTTTATTGGTTTGGAGTTAGCTGTGAATATTAATCAATCTATAGACTTAAAATATAATTTATTAAATGACCATTCCTGTAATTTATTTTGCTTTAAAAAGCGATTTTAGAAGCGTAAATCATAAAAAATCGATAACAATGAAAATATTAATTTTTTACAGGAATGAGCCAGACCAGCTTTAATAAGAATGGTAACGGTGTATATAATATTTTTTTCCTATATGAATTCCAAGGAGAGACTTTGGATTACCAATTCGGAGATCTATTCGCAAGTTAACATATGTAATGAAAACGAAAGGCATTATTCTCATTATGTGCTAAGAAATGTATGTTATCCATGTTATCCTGAGATTTTACCAATATTTAAGTAGCGGTACAGCTACAAACTATAGCGGGCTGACATTTCTTACCTCTACACCGGTTGGTCTTCTTCACAAGGGAGATTACTATCAAATCATTTTTTTGACCGAAGTAAACAAGAGTACAACTTGTACTTTGCTCTCAACAAATCTTGCGTGTCTTCTGGTCTGAAAGTGAACACATCCTCACTTTAAGGTTTGCAATGTCAGCTTCTTGCTTAATGATATGGCAATGGTTTGATTTGTAACTTGCTCTCAAAGTTGTACTATTTCCCAAATTCAAATCGCGGAATTTGTGTATCATACATCTGTGCCTTCTTCTTCTCTTTACTGTCTTTACTTTTTTAGTTTTTCTTTGCCCCTAAATAAATTTTCTTATTCTAAACAAGATGAATCTTGAACTTAACACTGAAAAAGAAAAAAAATGTAGGCCTAGAGTTAGAGCTGTGGTGTTGTTTTTTTTACGCCCCCATAGACTCTTATCATTTAGACATAAGTCAGGCTTCCGAACCTGCTACTGCTGGTCAGGCCAACCCAGACTGAGCATAATATAGGCCTACAGATCTAGATAATAAGACATGTCTAGACTAATTATGGATAGAAATTCTGGCACACAGACACCAGTAATCTTGAACTTAATTTTGGTGAATTTAAAATGCAGTGTTGTTGAACTACTGGTTGTCGAAAGGCTAGTACTATATCTAGTGGCAGTGGTCAAAACTTGTCATCTGGACCAAAATACCAGCCTTGGCATAGCCTTGCCTTACTGCACTTCTAAAGAAAACTTTCAAAATAATGCAATACCGTTGAATACCAAAAGCAGCTTGTTACCGTTGCATTGTTGACAATGATACTTGTGTACTAGATGAGAATGGAGCCCAGAACTCAGTAATTTTAGCACTGCAGATGTTCTCATGTCATGTCATGTCGTTATAATTCATAAGGCAAGGGCTTGCACAAAAACTATAATATATATACACATCATGCACCTTATTATTGTAAGGTCAGTACTACTGGACTCCAAAATCCCTAATTAGGCTAATCATCATGAATATAATAAAAAAGATGTGTATGCTCATTAGCCCTTGGGCATCAGCTTGATCATAACAGTGGATAAGCTATAGTGACCAGTGCTCAGAGGAAACCATGTCAATGTATTTGCAGGAACAGAAGCCGAATCCTGTAACTTCATTTTTTATGATTTATTTTCTGTTTTTAGCAATAATTATTATCTTTGAATACTCTCTGAGCAGGCACTTCTGCAATGGCAACTCAAGTCACAGACTATCGCCTGGAGATAAATGAATCGCGGTTCCGTGCAGAGAGCTACTTCCCAGGGATTACGTACGATGACTTTGATCGAGCTGGTAAGTGGAGGAACAGCTGGACAATTGATTCAGGTACAGGAACTGTGGGGAGATTTGGAAAATTGATTCAAGTGGAGGAACGGTGGGACAATTGGAGGAACTGTGGGACAATTGGAGGAACTGTGGGACAATTGGAGGAACGGTGGGACAATTGGAGGAACTGTGGGAGAATTGGAGGAACGGTGGGAGAATTGGAGGAACGGTGGGAGAATTGGAGGAACTGTGGGACAATTGACAAGTGGAGGAACGGTGGGACAAGTGGAGGAACGGTGGGACAACTGATTCATTGGTTACTGGTGGTGGTTCCTCCATGTTGTCTTTTGAATTTTTTACCTGAAATTGTTTCCACTCTACTTGTCCGTCACTGCTTCCCTTTATTATGACTTTGTGTTTATATAATTTTGCGTTTCTACTTTTGCATTGTTCAATGCTCTGTGTGTAAGTGTTGCTCTTCTGGCGGCTGATGGTTTCACCGCAGAACTTCCCGAGAGTGGCAGATTAATTTGCCGACTCTTTGTTTTAGTAGTAACAGTTGCCACAATTGTAACACAATTAAGTCATGCTATAAGTGCAGAGGATTGGAGGTGTAACAAGAGAGTTTTTTCTCTGTTGTAGCCTTTGAAGAAGATCATATGGGCCGTTCATTGATTAAAAAAACAGGAAAACATTTACTGCAGTTTCTGGGACACCTGAATAGACAAAGGCCTGGAACATCAAGCTCTTACTGGCAAAATTGAAGGCAAGGGAAGCAGGGATGGACCCGGGGCATCTCTTTTTGGAGAGCCTAAACAGATGGATGATGGGGAAAGGAAAGGAATATGTGTAGCTTTTTTTTTAAGCATCCAAGCTAAGGAATGAATGGAGAACCATGATTGCAAATGTTTGTCACAGATCTGGCACTTGATGATGATGATGATGATGATGATGATGAGCTTTTGACTTGTTTCTTTCCCCGCAGGAGGAATTTCTCCGTGGAAGATCTGCCGCATGTTTGAGGCCGGCAGAAACGTGCCGTTTTACCAGGGGAACTTTCTGGAACTGCAAGATCTGAGGTCGGAGAACTTTGGATTTTACGTCCTCGGGGGAGACTATTACTTTGACCCGTGCGTTTGGGAGGTCGCCCGGAAATACCAGTACTTTCCGTACAAGGTAAAGTTCTACAACAGTACAACAGTCGTAAAACCACTAATGATGAAGGTAGTAGTAATATGATAATAGTGATAATAATACAGTTGAAATTGTCGTACTCGGCCGTCCATTAGGGAAGAGAAAGGTGGTTGTCTTGGACAGGGAGAACCTCCAGGGCAGTGTCCGTGAAGTATTTGGACAAACATGAGAGATGTGATCATTTGTAGAGACCATTGTCTGGAATAGGTGGCCTTTAGAGGAACTTCTAATGTAATAATAATAACAATAACGATGATAATAACAATAACAATGATAATAACAATAACAATGATATAACAATATAACATAAATGATTCCTTTGCTGTGGCTGCAGCTACATGACATTCAGACCCTATGTGGGGAGTGCAGCACTGTATCCCCTAACCTATAGTTCTTGCAGCCTTAGGACATGTGTCCACCAAAGCAGAAATGACCCACTTTTTTGTCGGTAAGAGGCAGTTTGGCCTAGTTGTTTCCGGCATGCATGAACAGGTCGAAGGTTAAGGAATGCAGCGTGGAAAATTAAGCTAGGAATCATATATAGAAAAAAACTGATTAAATATTTTCTATGTATTTAAACTGGTAGTTTATACAAGGACTGCTAATTTGGAGGGGCCAATTGCGATATGGCATTAGATTTTTCATTCAAGGAACCGGGTTGTTGAAATGGAGCATAGGTAATTACAAATTTCTTTTCGCTGCGCCTGGGCTATGGCTGATAAGTCATCATCGGTCTATGTCAGACGGAGCAGTGTGGTTTGGTGGGCTCATCCTGACGGAATTCTTACTGTTTCCCAACGTAAAGAAACTGGTACTCCTTTTCAACAAGCGGTTTCTTATTACACCCCCCCCCCCCTCCCATTTACATGAAAAAATGTCTTTCAATTTGTTTTTAAAATTCTCAGATTTCCATCGAGCTGATCAACCAGGGTGAGACGTCCTTGACCTTCAGGGAGATCCTCATAAACACGCTGGACGGCAAAGAAATCGCCACGTTCTACGGGAAACTGGTGTACGTGGACAAGTCGGCCAAGAGGTCGCAGGTACTTCCGTACTGGCACCGCATGAAGTACCGCAGCGTGGAGTCGCCCGACCGCGTGCGCATTGACTTCACACTGAGTCAGGTGCCCTCGGACGCTTGTAGGGTGAGTTGTCTGTGGGAGGGTTTCTGTGTGTGTTTGGGGGATGGGGGGGGGGGGGGTGTCGTACGGGGTGTGGGGGGTGTGGATGGATGGGTGTGTGTGCGGGTGGGTATATGTGTTTGTGTGTGTGTGTGTGTTGTTATTATTTTTATTATCATTATTATTATTTTTATTATTATAATTATTGTTATACTGAATAGGTTGTAAAGGAACTTTTCAACATTTGCTCCCCACAGGTGAAGACCCTGGTCTCTGCCAGCGACGTGGACCACAACGGACACACCAACCAGGCCAGCTATGTCAGGTCAGTCTTTGTGGTGGGTCGTACAGGACAGCTATGTTGGGTCTGTCTCCCTGGGTCGTGGGTTGTACAGGACAGCTATGTTGGGTCTGTCTCCCTGGGTCGTGGGTTGTACAGGACAGCTATGTTGGGTCTGTCTCCCTGGGTCGTGGGTTGTACAGGACAGCTATGTTGGGTCTGTCTTTGTGGTGGGTCGTACAGGACAGCTATGTTGGGACATTTGGGGTGCCCGTTGGTAAGATTGGTTCAGTTTGGCTATTGTGGCTCAAACTGATTGCCCAACTCGCTTCAAAAAGAAACTCGTCAGTTTTCAGGCGACAAGACCGGCGATCGTTTGGCACAATCCCACCATGGGCACTCTGTATCAGGCTTAGTGTTCGGGTTAGTGGGTCTTACAGGCCTGCCTAGTAGGGCTGGGCAAAGAACTGATTCCGGCGATCTGTGCTGAGGAAGCATCTGGACGATAAATTTTTATCTTATTTATTTTATCTCGTCTTGTCTTGTGTATTTTGTGTACCGTATAAAAGAGAAGTGAATCACATGACTGGAGGTGTTGGGGTTTTGTCGCCGAGGTCTTGTGTTAAATGTGTCGCGACACGCTGGAGTCAGGCGCTCCTCAAGGTTTGGCTGTGTGGAGTTATTCCTTTATTCGTATGTCTTTCTTTTGATGGTAGAAAATATCCCTCCATCTCGAAAAGAAGTGGAGATATTTGCGATTGAAGACGGTGGGGGTCGCCTGCTATGGGACGTAAAATTAGTGAGAAAATTCCTGCCAAATGTTGGTGACTGCCAAATCTTTAGTGTCCCGGGACACTGCATTTTTACATTTGTTGGTTGTTGGTTTTTTATGAACATTTTTTAGTAAAATCAACTCAGAAATATGTTTTTAGAAAGACATACAAGGTGTTGATTTGCAAAAATATTTTGATAAAAATCGTCAGGCGGAAAAATGTCGGTTTCTTCAATTTCGTTCGGATTCTTTCCATGACTTGTCGCCCTCTCCTCAGCTGGGTCCATAGTTCTTGATGTTATTTCTTGATGTTATTTCTTGATGTTACTTCTTGATGTTACTTCTTGATGTTACTTCTTGATGTTACTTTTTGATGTTATTTCTTGATGTTACTTCTTTATGTTACTTCTTGATGTTACTTCTTGATGTTACTTCTTGATGTTACTTCTTGATGTTATTTCTTGATGTTACTTCTTTATGTTACTTCTTGATGTTATTTCTTGATGTTATTTCTCGTGCTGACTTCCCAGGTTTTGCATGGACGCGGCAGAGTCTGTGAACCGGCGTAAACAGCTGAAGCGATTCAGCGGCGACATCTGCCTGTACCCGATCATGAAGCTGTCGACGGCCTATCGCAGCGAGACCTACGTCGGGGACGAGCTGAGCACCTGTCTGTGGCAGGACGACCTCTCACCTTTCATGATTCACTTTGTCCTGTTCCGAGAGGACACCATCGTGTTCTCTGCCACGGTGACCTTCAAGAACGCTCCGTGTTCCAAACTTTGATGTCAGTTCCTGACGTTGCAGCCATGGGGGCCCGCCTGATGAGGTTCAGGTTCAAACCCGTGTAAAATTCTTGTCTTTCGAAATAGTTTCCCCCCCCAGCCAAACTACTGATGACCTACCCTCAGGCACTACTGCTGTATTTGAGCGTGTGAGTCGATCATGTACGTCAATCAAATTAAATTACCAATGTCAGTTTCTCCCAGATATTTGGATATCTGGACGTATGTTTGCTGTTGTTTGTATGACAACTTGTGTACCGTATAGACTTGCCTGTAACACAGCTTGGTCTACAATAATACAGTGTGTGTACTTTCACTCCAAAATCGACCCATTTATGTCGGTGGCGTGTACAGTGCGGAGAGAATTGCTGGAGGGGCCTCACAGCATGCGTGAAAACCAGCACTTGTCTGACAGTAAATGTTGTTTGTTACGGTATCTGAACCCCTCTTGTTATAGGCAAGTATGTGTGGCCAGTATGTGTGGCCAGTATGTGTGGCCAGTATGTGTGGCCAGTATGTGTGGTGAGTATGTGTGGCCAGTATGTGTGGTGAGTATGTGTGGCCAGTATGTGTGGTGAGTATGTGTGGCCAGTATGTGTGGCCAGTATGTGTGGCGAGTAGATTCCAAACATTTTGTTGATCTGTGATATCGTTTTGCTCTTTGAGTGGAAAGGATGGAGTTGAAGAAATTCTCCCGTGTTAGTGGTGAAAAGGGTATGTTTGTCGATCAATGGTAGGCCAATGGTATGTTTGTCACAGTGGTAGGCCTATGGAATGTTTGTCACAGTGGTAGGTAGGCCAATGGTATGTTTGTCACAGTGGTAGGTAGGCCTATTGTATGTTTGTCACAGTGGTAGGTAGGCCTATGGTATGTTTGTCACAGTGGTAGGCCTATGGTATGTTTGTCACAGTGGTAGGCCTATGGTATGTTTGTCACAGTGGTAGGCCTATGGTATGTTTGTCGTGAGCAAAGAATGAAGTTGCACAACTTTCCTATGCAGGTGTCTGTTTCTACGTGTGGCATTGAGCCTGTCATTTATGTCTTTTATTTCTCATGCTTTTGGAAATGTGATCGTCATTGGTACAGGTGTGCTATAGATCTAGAGAGCTACATATTTTTTATATTTTAATAATTTCTAGAAATTTTGTACAATTTCAACATATTTTTCAATTCTTTGGAAAATGAGGCTGGGTGCAGATAATTATGTAAACAATTTTTGGCTTGTTTATTTTACAGAGCCACTGCTCAATAATAAAAATAATAATGATTATTACTATTTGTTTTATGATCATCATTTTCATGATTATCTCCTATACAACTTTCATAACAACTTTAATATTGACAGAGGACAGAAACGTTCCCAAAAGGACTACGTTTTGTAACATCCGAGATCGGCCAAACAGATGAGTCAAACACGTGTCGCAGGAAACTGTGGGAAGTTGGAGGGTGGGTTGCTACGGTCCAGTGTCTTTGGTTGTGCGGGTTCCGTGAGGGAATGTGTGGGGTCTGGCTCTCTACGTCTGCAAGTCCCACACAGGTCTCGAATGACGCCCGACTTTTGTGGTCGGTGCTGATTCACCGGAGTCTCGCTGACCTCAGACTGAGCTGGGTGTCACTGGTTATCTCCCCCTGGGGGGAAGTACTGTCCTTCTTTTCTGTTGGCTCGGCACTTCTTGTGTTACAAGTGCCATAAAACTCTTACTTAAACGTAAACTGGACTTTCTGTTAGATCCAACCAGGTTGGGTGGGGACAAGAAGAGGGAGCAGTGAGCAGGTTGGGTGGGGAGGAGAGGAGGGAGCTGTGAGCAGGTTGGGTGGGGACAGGAAGAGGGAGCTGTGAGCAGGTTGGGTGGGGAGGAGAAGAGGGAGCTGTGAGCAGGTTGGGTGGGGATGACAAGAGGGAGCTGTGAGTTCTCGCTCAACTCTGTGGGGGAGCAGAAACAAATGATTTTGAAGAATTGTAATTCCCTCTCTGTTATGGTGAAGTTCATTTCTGTCTGAGTTGAGAAGTGTGACTGTGTGGCTGACTGTGTGTGACTGTGACTGTGTGACTGACTGTGTGGCTGACTGTGTGACTGACTGTGTGACTGACTGTGTGACTGTGAGTGTGTGACTGTGTGACTGACTGTGTGACTGCGAGTGTGACTGCGAGTGTGACTGTGAGTGTGACTGTGAGTGTGATGCTGGTAGAATTTTCTGGGTTTTTTTGTTTCCGTTTGCCTCGTTTCCTTTTTTTAGCTTGCTGGATTTTCTTAATTAGGGAAAAAAGATTTCTTTGTGAGACATTTGATCATTTGTTTTGCTGAAGCGAAAGGAATTTTCCTTCTTTTACTTTTACTAAACAAATGATTTTGAAATATAATTATTTTATATATATATAGAATCTCTCTCTCTCTATATATATATAGTGGCATCAGAGGGACATCAGGTGCTCGTCAAAATAATGAACATGTTTCTTCCCTTTTGGCGCCATTCTTATAGAATTTGTGGTTTTGGGCTCAACACGTCTCATGACTCCTTTCTGTGTGTGTTCTACTGAACAACGATCTACAGCACAACACATGTACATTTGTGTGGGTGGTTGGCGGATGCTCTGGTGTGGTTTGTTCCTTCTTTCCGATTAAACATCTATCATCCTTATCTCTCCTCCTCCTTTTTTATAATGTTACTCTCTTGTAACATCTCTAATCTTTGGCCCTTTTACGACCTAACTGTGCTGCAAGTGGCAGAAAAAACTCTTAGTAAAACAAAACAAAACAAAACATGTAAACTTGCGACATCCAAGGTCACTGCTTCTTTGGAACTCTCCACTTTTTTGTGGCAATTTCCTCGCTAGTTCTACCTCTGACTAGTCTGACACCAGAC